TGTACCCCTAATTAAATTATTTTTGAAAGAAGTTCAAAGAAGCACAGTATATTCTTTTTTTTTACTTTTTAAATCAACATAATTTAAGTGTGCCACAGAAGCATAACTATAGGTTCAAGTGTGCCATGAGATTAAAAAAGGTTGAAAAACACTGCTTTAAGAAATTACCAGAATCTTACATCTGCAAGAAACAATAGTCTTCACGGTGAAAACTGATAGAGAGTGAGACCTAACTTTGCAATCTTTGTTTTTCTTCTCTTGCTTCCTGACTGTCTACCTACCAAAAGGGGGCAGGAGAAGAGTCTTTTTTTTTTTTTTTTCCTGAAATCATTTTACTAGTATCTTATCGATTTTCTTTCAAGTATAGCCTGTGGTCTCAGGTGATCACATATTTCCTGACGTTACTCATATCCTTGACACATGGGTTGACGTATTTTACTGTTCTGAGGCTTCCTGGTGGTGAGAAGTACCCAGGCCGCCTATGCAGAGAATTTAAGGGAGCCAGCTGCTTCCCGACAGCGTTTTCCTTCTTTGAGAAGCAGTGATTGTTCATCCCCAATGAGGTCTTAAACCTCCTCGTTGCTTTGTTGCTTTGCATTGTTCCTCACCCCTACAGCATTTCTTGAGTCTTTGAAGTGATAGGGGGAAAAGGGGGTGGGGGAGGATTGGTAAACTCGCCTGATGGGCACACCCCCTGGGGAAGGGCCCAACTACAACTTGGACTCTGCCTGACAAATGCAAACATTGTAACCTAACATTTGCACTGTCATATTAATCTGAAATTTTAACATAAATAAGTAAACAACAATTCCTCACCCAGGTAACAGATATTCCAGCTACCTGTAGAGAAGATTGTTAGTGCGTGTGGGCGGGAGTGCGTGGCCTCCACTCGCCTGGCTGGGTCTTCCTCACCTGTGTCTCCTCTCGCCTCCCGTTGCAGCTGGCGGTGAGGTGGCTGGAGCACAACTGCCACTACCAGCACCTGGACGAGCTCTTGCAGTACATCCGCTTCGGCCTGATGGACGTGGACACTCTGCACACAGTCGCGCTGTCCCACCCGCTCGTCCGAGCGAGCGAGGCCGCGACGGCGCTGGTCAACGAGGCCCTGGAGTACCACCAGAGCATCTACGCGCAGCCCGTCTGGCAGACCTGCAGGACCAAGCCGCGCTTCCAGTCGGACACCCTGTACATCATCGGCGGGAAGAAGCGCGAGGTCTGCAAAGTCCGGGAGCTGCGGTACTTCAACCCGGTGGACCAGGAGAGCGCTCTGATCGCCGCCATCGCCAACTGGAGCGAGCTGGCGCCCATGCCCGTGGGGAGGAGCCACCACTGCGTGGCGGTCATGGGCGACTTTCTGTTTGTGGCAGGGGGGGAAGTTGAGCACGCCAGCGGCCGGACGTGTGCCGTGAGGACTGCCTGCCGCTATGACCCCCGCAGTAACTCCTGGGCCGAGATAGCGCCCATGAAGAACTGCCGGGAGCACTTCGTGCTGGGCGCCATGGATGAGTACCTGTACGCCGTGGGGGGCAGGAACGAGCTGCGCCAGGTGCTGCCCACGGTGGAGCGGTACTGCCCCAAGAAGAACAAGTGGACCTTCGTGCAGTCCTTTGACCGCTCTCTCTCGTGTCATGCCGGCTATGTGGCCGACGGGCTTCTGTGGATATCAGGTAGAACGGGCCTCCTATGTTGGATTTAGCGAAAACGCATTTGTTGTGTGTACATTTAAAAGTTGCGCTTTGGTTCTGTGGCCGTGTGAAATCAAAGATAGAGCCAAGCTTGCCATTTTAGCTAATTAACATTCATTTATTGAGTTACTTGCTCCAGAGAACAATGTAATTGGAAAGAATGGGCCTTTCTGTGACTTTCTGAGACAGTAGTGGAGTAAAAATTCAAGATGGAAATTAATGTTTTTCTACCAAATCTTCTATTGTCAGCTCTTGGTTATTCATGGACTGTATTGTACGAATTGTGGTTTATGGGTCCTGTGCTATTTCTTTCATTAGGAGCCATCTCATTAAAGATAAGGCAGGGAGCGGGGCAGGTGGCTCACACCTGTTATCTCAGCACTCTGGGAGACCCATGTAGGAGGACTGGCTGAGCTCATGGGTTCCAGATCAGCCTGAGCAAGAGCAAGACCCTGTCTCTAAAAATAGCTTGGTGTTGTGGCAGGGCCTATAGTCCCAGCTAATTTGGGAGGCTGAGGCAAGAGGATTGCTTGAGCCCAAGAGTTTGAGGTTGCTGTGAGCTATGGCCCCAGGGCACTCTACCAAGGGTGACAAAGCAAAACTTTGTCTCAAAAAAAAAAAAAAAAATCCTGCAGGAGAAGTAAAAGTCCAGTAAATCCATTTTAGTAGGTGTAGCAATGGGTGTATATCTAGGCAATAGCTGTGCTGTGCATTGAGGGAAAGGCTTTATGTTACTAACAGAAAGGTGTTTTCCTATTACCTGTGCATAGTAGCTACTCATGCCGTCCTAATTCTTCATTCCTATTGACTTTCCCATTCTCACTGATGACTTGGGGGTACTGTTTGAGCTCTATTTCAGTTTACCTCTTGGTTTTTTTTTTTTTTAAACATTTATTGTGGGAAAAGTGGAGTAGTTAGCATAATGGGCCCCATGTAGCTCAAACCCAGATTTCACAGTTGTCTACTCTTTGTCCATCTCGTTTCATCCACACCTCTGCACCCTTCTTGGCTGCCTTTGTGCTTGCCCAGAGGAGTTTTTGAAAATGTTATTAACATCACCGTATCCATCTGTGTTGAGAAAGTCTCGAAGTGTTCTCTTTTGAAAAGGTTTCCTGTCAGGGAAGAAAGTTGCATCCTGTCTCAGTTGGAGGATACACATTTTGTAACCCAGATGGAACTTGTTGGATTTCTGTGTCATTGAGAACAAAGAGGAATAGAAAGGTCAAATAATTAAAATGTTAAGAATAATTTTGAGGCTGGGTATAGTGGCTCACACCTGTAATCCCAGCACTGTGGGAAGCTGAGGTGGGTGGATTCCTTGAGCTCAGGAGTTCAAGACCAGCCTGAGCAAGAATGAGAACCCATCTCTACTAAAAGTAGGAAAAGTAGCTGAGTGTGATGGCGGGCGCCTGTATTCCCAGCTACTTGGAAGACTGAGGCAAAAGGATATCTTGAGCCCAAGAGTTTGAGGTTGCTATGAGCTATGATGACACCATAGCACTCTACCCCAGGCAACAGAGTGAGAAATTCATTAAAAAAAGAAAAAGAGTAATTTGATGTTTCTTGACTTAGAAGAAATAATCACTTTTAAGGATACCTTCAAAGGCTTCTCAGCTTTTGCCAATAATTATCTC